TCTTATAAATTCAAACTCTTAGAATAGTATTTATAAATATAATACATACTAGACTATAAAAATATTATTTTTGTTTTTCGATTAATGCCGGTGAACTCTTGATGGTGGTTTTGTGTTAATTTATTAATTTAATTTTTGAAGAACTCAAAAGAACCTATGTCTCTATACATACATTTATATATTAAAAAAATTATTTTACAATATGTATAAGCCGGAATAAGTTCGCTTTTACCACTTATACATTTCATCATTGGTGCGAGATTGTATAATGTTGACAAAAGAGGTGTCGAGGGAAATTGAAAAACGGTATCACGATAACAATGGAAATCGCGAGGGAAAAAATAAGAGAAGTTGCTTCGTCACCGATATACTATAGTATATAATATATATATAGTACATTGGGTATTTTCAAAATGTATTTCAAGGAGGACGGGAGGTGTGGTGCACGAGTTAATCAGATTTAAATTGAATCGCATGTACCCAGAAAATTGATATTCCACTGCGGTTGACACGTCTATTTGCCCCGCAGGGTAGGGCCTGTGGATACTCTTTGACAAGTCTGCTGTGGTGTAATTGGAACATCCAGTCCGTAGACCGCGCCGCAAGGTAGAAACCTTATTAATTTGGCAGATAACACCTCCGGTTTTTCCACCCTGTCACTATCAATTTTCGCTTTAGCAAACGTGTAAAGTCGCGCCCCCTTTTCCTTTCACTCGTTGCACCACTACAAGAGTTGTAATATCTAATAATACTGTTAAACAAAATAATGTCTGCCATTTGGGTTTCACCACACAGCCGTATACCTACTATAAATTGTAAAGAAAATACACTTAAACAACGACTATTTTGGTCGAAGATCGATTTTTGTTTATAATTTATTCATATTTATATTCATGACTAAAAAGTATGCGCAAATAAACGATTATTTTTTATGCTGATAAAATTAAATATTATTAAACTAGGTATATAAATATTGTTTTTTATAAAAAGAAATATTGACAATCATTATTATATCTCAAATATGATACAGAAAAAGAATGTAATGTAGGGCATAAAAACATTTTAAAATTTTGAAATCTATATAGAGATCTATAGGTATGTGAAGAACGGCTTTATTGTCATGGTGTCATCGATGGAGGCAAAGACATTAATCTACATACAGAATACGTTTGAAGTGGAAATAATATAATATAATATATTTAAATGTGGTTAAATATGAACAGATGATATTTAAATGGTCAAATGTATGTATCTATATTCCACATATCAATTTCATTGTTTGCTATATTGGTAATCTTTTACTATCTAAAAGTACCAGTATGGGGAACCTGTGTGTTGTGCATTAGGTGTAACTCGTTATTAAGTAGGTCATTGTAATGGAAGCATAGGCAGAACAGATGTCATTAAATGGGAGAAGGGGTACAAAAAAGGGGTGTATTTAAACAACAGAATTATACATATTATACTACTGTACCTATACATATTAATTATTAACTCTTATATTTTAATATTTTACTCCATTAATATAGATAATTAATCAAATATCTTATGAGTTGTATGGTGAAGGTTGGAAATTGCTTCCATTGCCCCCCTCCTTGTCTTTGAATGGAAGTGTTAAATTTAAATCTAATGAAAGATCATTACAACAATTCCGGCCAAAGAAGTGTTGTAGTTAGTGAGGAGGGGGTGGGTGTTTTGGTTTTCTCGGGTATATTTATGAAAAAAAAAAAAATGTATTAAGTGTTGTATTTTATAAAAAATATGTTGTCATATAGTTCTATTCCATAGTCCTCACAAGTTGTATTCAAATTTAAATTAAAAACACCCCCTAAAAAAATCTCTACTATAAGCGCCTAAAGCGGAGACGATCTGTCAGCCTATATATATTTAAAAGTCTATTTAAATATATATAGCTATGTTATGATAATTTATTTTGCTATGATTAGTAATATGGTATAATTGGGAAAAAGCTTAAAATCAATCCAAATATTTTGACCATGTCATTCCATGTCGTAGGAATAGTAAAATACAAGGATTTACCTACTTAAAAATGACTGATCTTCATGCATCTTTTTATAGGTTATATTGATAATTATCTTTTTTTTTATTAAATACCTATCTAATTTCGTCATTTTTTAACTTCAAATTTCTATGAAAAAAATATGCTTTTATATTATTTTAATTTTTGAATTTAAATTTGCAAATACTTATGAGGAATCTATTTATTACATTTTTAAGCCTCAGCTACAAAAATTGAACATTTCTTAAATTTTTAACTATAAAACAATTTTCAAATTTCAGTGATTTTGATGAATTTTGTGAAAATTTGATCTCCAAATTTAATATATATAAAAAAAAATGTGTTTGTTTTCGTTCTTCTTCTATAGACTCTAATAGACTATTGGATCGTTTTCAATGAAAACGTTATGTCAATCGATTCATTGAGACTCAGGGCGGGTTTGTAGCTTTGATTCTCGACTCAAATCGAAAAAAAAATTGTTTTTATAATATAGGGTTGTCATTGGTTACAGATAAAGTAAGGTATATTATAGTATATATTGTTATAACAATTCATTATAGTTTTTGCCATTCGCTCAAAGCCTACCATACAATTTCATCTGACTATTTCTTGTTCCTTATTCCGTAATTTATTTTTTATTTAGATTGCAAATGAGGTATTTATTTATTTTTGTCTATTTTTTTTTTTTTTTCATCCCTTCGAAACTCACAACAATTGGTAAATCTACCAGCGTAGCATGGAAAAAGGGATTACGAGCTATAGCAAGCAATGCGGTTTCAGATCGTTATTATGACACAACTACTCAAACATGTTCTATTCTGAAAAGTATTCTGCTGAAGTCGAATAGTGGTCGAGGTGGTAACATTTCTTCAATCACCCTTACCATCAAACAGTCACGTTACTAGGTTACCTAGTTAGGCACATATGATAATAACTGATATAATGATGTTTCACGAAATAAAGCGGTTGTTTACAAATTTATAATTATTATAAGTCATATTTTAAGCATCTATAATAGAAGTCATTATACGTACTCCTCAGTCCACACCAAGAATATCTGGATATTATATTATTTGTAACTGGTAAATGTTTTCTAAATCAAACGGTGATACGTCTTCACTGTCAATTACCTAATAGTATATAACAATATAACATAATGATATAATATGTTTGAATTTTCTACATATACTGTGTGTATCTATATAATCAGGTAAGCCTGGAGAAAAGTTTAAAGAGTAATCAACTGTACCCTATGTCGCTATGTGACCGCGCTTATGAAAGCACTTGAGAATTTTAAATTAATTATAATACGCAATTTAATTTATCGCCGAATATTTTTCTGACAATATTGTCAACTTGCATGATAATATAATTTTTTTCACAAGACTTATTACAATTGGAATGTTGTTAATATATTATATACGTATAACATTAAGTTATACATTTAAATGCATAATATACACCACACTCATCAGAATATGTGTATTTACTTACAAACCATTGTGTGACGATATAATATTTTGATGACTGATGAAAACCTAAAATATGAAATGAGCACGTGTCCTCATTATGCATATAATGCAGCTGCCTCGTTCTTTGCCAACGTCACTGAATTATTTTCACTCGACTTTTGTTTCGAACAAAACATCCAGATGAATAATGCGCACTCTGCATCATGATATTGAAAATAAACTTTTAAACTCTTCGTATTTGATCATTGGTTTTTTCGTTTTGAAAATTTAAATGACACCTTTTCGATATTTTGTTACGCTGACTTTTTTTCAAAATGATAGTTGAACGTTCACTATAAAAAAACGTTTCTGTATCAGTTATCCCGTTTAATAACGTGCCTGCCGTATTTTTGAGTGCCTTATATATTTGATGATTTGTGACACACTCAAAATGTCAGTGTACGATTACATGTGTAGAACACATTCTGAACAATAATAATATGATGATGTGTGAAGATGAGCGGGGTGGCTGTAAATCAATATAAAAAGAACAACGTTGATTTCGACCAGTGTTACACTCCTGTGGAATCGTATTTCAAATGCGGGACGAACGAACAAAAAAAACTTCAATAGTCAATATACTACATTTTATTTAAATTTTAAAACAGTTTATAAACACAGTATAAGCAAACGTTTGTATTTTTAAATAAAAAAAAAATAACGTAGAAATAGTAGAATCCTATAATAATAATAATAATAATAATAATAATAATATGTTTAAGTGCTACGGCTACATTCCGAACACAATTATTATAATAATAGGCGCTTAAAATAATATTAAATTTATATGTATAATATTAATTACTTATATTGAGTTTTATATTAATATTATTTACAGTCACTCATCAATACTTTGCGCATTGATATTAAATAATACTGTAGTAGTACGTAAAGGTACATGTTATACCATATAAACGCAATACACAAACAATGCCAGTTGAACAATTAACTGCAAGCGCGTGTATGTGTATAGCTTATTGTAGTATTATATTTAATAATAATTGTTTGAAAGAATTATCTTATAAAGAGATGGCGAACATTTTAAATTATTCAAATACATTTCAATTTAACGCTATAACTGGTTTTCTAATATTTACATACAAGCATTTAGCTGATATTTTTCTCTTTACATTGTAAATAATTACACTAAAACTCTAAAAACAATTTTCTCAAAGCAACCGTACCTATTTGTACTGCTGTATAGGTACACGTAATTATTACAAAAATGTAGGTAATAACTTTTGTTATAGAAAATGTATCTTACAAAACGTAATATTATATAGGTACTGTAATATATATTTTATAAAAAAGTAGGTACTCAAGGAAGATCTGCACGTGTTGAAATTCAGAAATCGTAATTGTTTCTACACTATATTCGAACAATTCAGCTTTTAATCGTTCACCCCCTGCGTACAGCAATTCGTCGTTTATAGTACGCCGTCTTCTATATACACTCGTATAATATATGCGTCCGATATTAAACTACTCAGTAAATTCACAAATGCATTAATGCTGTTGAATCAAATAAAATGCTAAATGATTCATGTATTGTATAATTACGTTGTATACGCACCGAGATCGAGAAGCAGGAGGATGAGCAGGATAAGAAGAAGTAGGAAGAGATAAATTTCCGAAGGTTTCCCGGATTACTATTTTTTTTTTATCAAAAAACGTTAATTGCTGTGACCATCTGATCGTTGCTCTACAGTCTACACGATGGTGTGTGGATGTGTGGATGGATGGTCGGAAGGATAGTTGGATGTATGAACGGATGTGCGTGGACGGGTGCGGATGCGACGCTGCGATGCGTTTTCATCAGTCCGAGTACGACGTCTTGTCGGAACCGGGTGACGGTGACCGCGGTGAAGTCGCTGCCTGGTTCAGGTGGTGCGACTGGTAGGTCATGGCGTGCGGGTGAACAGTGGTGAGGTGGTGCAGTTGCGGCTGTAGATAGTGGTGAATCGGTGCTGTGAGGAAACGGGGCGCCTGCTGTTGTTGCTGCTGCTGTTGCTGCTGCTGCTGCTGGTGGTGATGGTGGTGGAACGACGTCATCGCGGCCGCGGCCGTGCACACCGTGGCCGCGGCTGCGGACATGGGCGAGAACGCTGAGTGCGAGTCCATGAGCGACGGATGTCCTATGGTCGGCAGCTGATCCGATGAACACATCTGAAACAAGCGACGTGCAGGTCGGGTGTTACGCGTGACATGGACATATCGTATAATAATTGTTAAGCGTTTGTCGGTACAGAATGTGGGTGGAGGTGGCGGGTGTGTGTGAGAGAGAGAGATAGTGCTAGATTGCTATTAAACTTATGAATGCAGCATAGATAATAGCTGTAGCTACAGACAGATATGTATATAATTATTTTAATTCTTATTAGTTATTATACAGCGCCACGGCGGACGGGCGCGCATGACGCTGCAGTGTATTCTCATGTACCTAAAGAGAGGACGACGACTACAACAATAATAATATAATATTATTATGTACCTACATATTACGGTATAGTTTACACATTATAATATAATATAGGAACCAATATTCTTTACAATATGGCCGCGCGTCAAAAGGGATCGACCCTAAATGCGTTTTCTTTTTTAACATCATTATAATATTATTGTGTCGCGTACGAAAAAAAATAAACTGTACGGGTGCGCGTACATACAAATTGACAATATAAATAATACATCACAATGTGACGTGTACGTATAAAGGGTACGAGCGGGTATTTTTTGAAAACCCGACTACACCACGAATTGTCGAATTATAATAATGATAATATGCTCGAGTAAGCGTCGAAAATCGGGTTCTCCCGTGAGCGTGTACACCGCGTTAGGACGAGAGCTGTTAAAACGGTAAGACTAGACGCCATTATCACCACCATCTTTGGTGCATAATCAGATAAGTATTTGATTATTTCATATATTATTATTTGGATATTTCAGTTTAAAACATATATAAAAGTAGGGAATAACGGTGACCAGAAGTGTACCGCTGTTAGAAGAGAAGTGACTTTGCTACATCAATGAATGGGATGATATAAATATATATATAACGATTAACATTTAGTAGTGGATTTTCTTTTGATATGATGATAAATTTATTAAAAGTTGGTAAGTAAAAAAATTCATCATTTTACAGTACTCGTTCAAGCAATATATTTTGTATCCATTTAACACGTTTTCCGCGTATTACAAACTTCGATACAAATATTCATTATAGTTGTTGTCTACAAACCCTGTTCGATTATTGCCGTCATTTATATTTTTGTATACCATTATGATACATTATAATGTCAGTCATCGATATTATGGTCATAACTAGGGCTCGGATTTAAATGTCCTAAAAATTTTAAACTTATAACTTATAATTATTATAGTTTTAGTATTAAATACGTCTTTACAACTTCAGAAAAAATTGAACAACACCTAAAGTTTTTCATAAATGTTATATTATTTTAACTATGCCAAAACGTAAAATATGTTTAACGATCTTGAATTAAATTTATAGAGAGTTTAAAAAACTTAACATGGATTTTAGTACTTTGGTGGTTTGTATAAATTCTCAGCGTATTCAAAAATTCGCAGAACAATTTATTGAACTAGTAATAATGTATTAATTATAGATATCAATAACTTGATGTGTTCAATACAATATACAATAAGTATAGGTAAGCCATAAAGTAAATATTAAGAATTGGTAAACTTCTATTTCACGTATGTTTCTATTAATACTATAAGGTTTATGTTATTTTTCTTAAATTACGATACATAGATCTTATGCATTGTATGCTTGGAAACTATTTACAGGATGTGCATCTTCGACGGTCAGATAACTCAAACTGCTGCCAATTTTCCGTTAGGTTTTTGATTTTCTAAATGGTTTCGATTTGACTATACAATACAACATTAACCTAACCTAACCTAACCTTTGCAAACGAATTATGGTGTCGTTTATTACGATAGCGTGCAGCGTGTTTCTTAAACCGAGTTCCGCGGAACCATGAAGTTTCGTGAATAATTCGAAGGGGTTCTATTACTCTTTATTGATTGGTTATTAATATTAATTTTTATAGAGGTTCCACATGAAAAAAAATATTATTGTTTGGCGTTCCGTGATCTTAAAAAGTTTAAAAAGAGGAACACTGGTCTACCTAATGCGTACATATTAGGTATATAATGTAGGTGTGGTACTTACCATGAGTTCGATTGCGTGCAATACGTCTCCGTTGCACCTCTGCAGCACGTTTTCGATGTCCACTCGTCTCTTGTAAGGGAAAACGCGTCGGAGTACATCGACGGCCGACCGTCCGGCAGAGTTGACTCCGGCGGCTGCGGCTGCGGCGGCCGCGGCGCTCGATTCCAGGAAACTGGAGAAATTTGGATAGTTCGACGGCAATCGGGAACGGTCGGGTTCGGTCGGCGAACTGGAGTCTCTCCGTTTGGGCAGCGACAGGTTTTCCGGGGCAGCTTCGTTGCTACTCTCGTTGCTCTCCACCTATTAAATATAATATATTTATAGATCATGTAGACTGGATGAGTAAGTGTGACAAAATGTTTGTTTCTAATGTTTACGTATAGGTATAACATTTTTAGAGGCCAAACCTATTAGACAAAACCATTCACATATTAGAATTTGTCTCGATTGATTACCCATAAACACATTTAATTTAGTATTTCAAGTTATCAATATGTTTAATATTTAAATTTAATTTTAGAATGGCAATGCAAGAAACACTTATAGTTATAATTTTTAAATACTATTGTGATATAAGAAAGTTGGAACTGATTAACATTTTACACCATTAATATTTTATTTCACAAGAGTACCTACAATATAATTTTGGAGAAAATCAACCCTAATCAAATATATATTTTTCCTCGAAATTATGAAAATTAACAGTTACTAAATGTTATGTGCAAGTATCATTCACATTATGAAACACCATAATCTCATACTTTATTAAAGTTCTATTATTTTAAAATTCTCAACTACTATACAATATAGTTTCACCTAACTATAATTCGTAATTAGTATATGTCTTGCCACTCAGTGGAAAGAACATATTATGCATGTATAACCACAATTCATAATAATAATTATCTATATATTTTATATACGAATGAATGCGACCATAACGCAACTATACCTAGTATTGAGTAAAGTTATTATAATTTTATTCGCAATACCTATTATACTATAAACAAAAATTGAAACATCAAACTTACCTCCGATCTCGTGGGACTGTTGAATTTGGCGGCAAATTGTGTGGACGTTACTTGGGTCGGGGCGTTCGGCGATACGCTGGACGATCGGCTTCGTGTGTTTTGATCTTGTGTGCCAATTGTTTGGTCGTGTTTTGCATTAATGGATTCTTCCGAACTGAGGCGCGCTCTTTTTTCGTCTAAAATCGGGCAAAATTCGAAGTTGTTTAATTAATGAATTCGGAGACGTATAACTGCATAAGGAAATACGAAAGTGCGAATGTTTGAGAAAAAATCCTTATGGATATTGCAATGTTATTATTATGTGACGAGAGTACTTGACGTGTTGAACGTAATAATATTATTATTTCAATTAATTTCATTTTTCTTGCGCTAACCAAATGCCATGCGTGTCAAACAGCATTCAACTCTTATCGACCCTTATACATATACTTAAAAAAAAACAAAGTGTATACACATAATACAATAATGTCAGTACGGACGAATACAACATATTATTTATAAAAGTCAAAGGTATACAAGTGTAGAGTATAATAATATGTGGTTAAAAAATAATTATTATTATTGACAAATCGTTAATCACGTTCGATTTGTATGTGCGTTTAACGTGTACCTATATAATATTATAATATCATTGGGAAATGGAATAAAAAAAAAAAATAATAATAATACGTAACGTTTCGAGGCTTATATATTATATTGTGCGTGAGTACGAGGTGGAAAAAAATGTTTAATAATACAACGTTCGTCGAAGATATTCGAGTGTATAATCATGTATATGTGTATATTAAAGTGTGTATGTACATAGGCTTGTATGGTGTATATGAAATGCGGCAATTATTTTTTTACGGCTGAAAAAATAACACATCGACGATGTAGCGGAAGGGCGATGAGGGTGTGGAAGAGGGCGCGAGATGGACGGACGCGGGGAATGCGAGAGAGTGAGTGAGAAAGAGTGAGGGAGCATTTAAACTAACGCGGGGGTGGCGGGATTATAATATAATAATATGTCTAGTATGGCGATCGCGCTCTTAAAAGCCCGACAACCCCCTTTTGCCGCGGGTGCAGTACACCGCATAAGTGCGGAGTGAATCGCCCGAGTACATTATAATATACAAAATCTCTATTGTACAAACTCGGCTGCGGGATTTCGTTATTATTGAAACGTTTAAATAGGTACCTGCGCGGCAGTTGTTTTCTGCACAGCCATATATGTATATATATTATGTAGTCGAGTATATAATAATTATGTAGGTGAACTACCACTGTGTACATACATAATTTTATAAACATATGAATATTAAGTCAGTAAGTCACAACAGCTTATGTACAATGTTCACATATAAATATACATAAATATATATATCATACATGTATACGGTGGTTCAGGCTTCGAGGGGGGGGGGGCACTCGACGCTGTACAATTATTGTTTACGCAGAACTATAATATATCACGACCATATAACCAATTACCCAACTTCCTATAATCCTACCATGTATTATTATATTATACATTATATTTGTACCATCGAGACTACGGTATTGTTATTATTATATTATTATTATATTACAGGTATACGTAACTTTACGTTTAACGGTGCTTTAACGAGTTTAAGGCGTACTTGAAAGTTAAACGTTATTATTTTTTAAAAACGGTTTCTATATTATATTGTCATTATTACCACTGCTATGTATAATGTTCCCGGAACTAAATTAAAACCAAAAAAGCGCATTAAATTATAAAAACACAATCCTAAAAGTTATTTATTATTGTATATAGGTACTGTATTTACCTCTATTGTATACATATTTATTTGAGTTATCAGAGGAAAACAAATTACAAATAATAAAAAAAAAAATACTTGAATAAAAGTATAGTTAAAATTACGTAATTTTTCAAATGTAATGTGAAAATCATTATTTTATACCTAATTATTATTTTTTTAACTATTTCTAAATGAAATATTCTCATATGTCAATTTCAAAAATATACTTATAATTAAAAAAAATAAACTTTACGTGTAGTAAAAATGTTCTATGAAAACTTTAGGTATACATCATAGTCGAGTTAACAAAATATATAGTTGTACAGAATTATCACAAATATATAGTTTCATGCAACTTTTATTCGCAAGTTTATGGGTACCCACATACTATAGTTTATCTCCTTATAGCTTATTATTTTTTTTTAATTGCAATATGTGTACCGTTTTCGAGTGCACTCTAGTCTTTAAGTTATAATTTTTAACAACAATATATCGAGATAGTTTCATGTAGTCGTAAGCATTTCTATTAAGCTGCGATTTTTAACCCTCGGCAACTGCTCTTTTAACATAAAAAAAAACATAACGCCACCCTTGGCATACTCAACCACTCAAGTAATATAATATATACGTTTATATTTTTTCACCGTCTTTTGTTTAAATGAACGGTGGTTTGTATTCGTTTATTTTTAATTTAATAATTTGCTAGAAAAAAAAACACTATCTCGGCGAAGAACACAGTGCGTAGCTGATATTGTGACCAAGTGCATTTCAAATGATATTATTGTTTTATCGTGTAATATCTGCGGCAAGCCAAAATTTGAATCTGTAAAAGCAATTACTCAGCTACCACTTTTTGCGAATCCTTTCCACCCCACGAATAACTGCTCAAGCGTTTAAACTCGTAAGATAACATTGTGTAAAACCACGTCTTTGGAACATTCATACAATGTTATCTGTTTAACAAAAAGTTTAAAGTGAGTTAAGGAGGGTAAAGAGTAGAGGTTAATTGGTAGTTGTGTTTAAGTTGTGTGTGCGTTGTTTTATAATAACCTCTTGGCCACCATTGTGAATGTACGCATACAACGCGGCTCTTAATAAGAAACACCCTTCCCCATAAAGTATAATATAATATGCCCACGCATACATGTATAAGTAAATATGATATATACGTACACACACCTATATAATAATACTCCCGGAACAATGAAGACGATTAGGGGTGAGTTGGAAATCGTATATAATATACTTAATATAATAATGCAAGCAATTGAGGTCAAGAAGAATTCTGCGGCAATAAAAGAGGAATTCGGATAATGTTACTAGTGGTTATTATGTGTGCGGCGTGTGTACGTTCATATATACATCACGCACAGTCATAAACAGGGTCTTCTGTTTTCCTCGTCACCCTCGTTATCAACGACAGCCCATAATAATTATTATATATTTCCTTCGGTTGGCAACATAAAATATTTTCGCAGACGTCATCGATCCACCCGTCTTGCGTCAATTAAATAATAATATATTATGTTCCTTTATTTTATACCGTAGTTTTGTGCGTAATGAGTATATTATCATGGGCATGCAGTGTGGTTAGAAAATGCCTAATTTTTTTGGAAAATATAATTATTATTATGTGTTATTTTTGAAATATTATGACATTTTCACTCTTCGAAATTTGTAGTAAGTTTCCAAACTAAGTTTGGTGTTAATATAGTTGTATAGACTATTAAAACTGACGTATTTTTTTCACATAAAAATGTATGCAACAGAATGTCAAGCACACAAATAAGTAAACACGTTATTCTTTTTTTGACTTCGTATTTCAGTAAATGCGTCCACGATTCAATGTAATATTATCCTTCGCTATTTAAACTATGGGTGAAAATGAAATTGTGTCTATGACGTATTGTTAATTTATGTAATTTAATTTTTACTGATAATTATTTTGCGTGACATAATAGAATCACAAATCCAAACGGGTAAACATGAATATAAGTTAGGGATATAATGTTTTTAACAATAATTCAATAAACTTCTATGCCAATGAACGAGTGTGAAATTCGTTTAGGGATGTTATAAAAATAATATGAATATACCTGGACTTGATCTAGCAGCAGCTGAAGATGACGACGATGGTGGTGGGTATATCAATCCCAGTTCTCTGGCCTCGTTTTCCTCTTGAGCCTGTTGCCGCCTTAGAGCTACTTGGGCGGCCATAACTCTCTGTCTTTCTGCTATCAATGTACATTTTGCACAAGCACAATCTCTCCAACGGCAGTAGCGTTTATGTCCCTAAATAATAAAATAATACTATTTATAATTCATAGCTATTTCAGAGCTTCAGACATAATAATATACAATTTTATTTGAAAATTGAACCACACATTTTCTACTTCTATAGGCACATCTTATGATATAAAAGCATGTCCAAAGCGTGAATATAACCTAACCTAACCTAGTCATTACGTCATAATTATTTTAAACACAATTTAAAATATTTGAATTTATTGTAATAATTATTTGTTTTACTAATCAAATACATCTGAGAATTAATAATCAATGGTTTTGCAATATTTTATACACGGCCTTTAAATAGTTGTACTGAATGTTAAATCAATATTAGTTCAATGACTTATAATAACATATTTTATTAAATATAACACCAGTAGTTGAATATATTTTTGAATGACTACAAATAAGAGAGAAACTCAGAAAATAGCAACCACAATTGCTTATTGTTTTTTAGCTCCTTATTTTTGGTTGAAAACCAATATTCATTCATATTCATGAGATCATCATGACATTATGCATAATACATTACACATGTTGTAACTATGTATTATATGTATAAGAGAGAGCGCGTTATTATTAATTATGTAAGTACATATTGTACATACAATATACATATTTAATATTTATGTAGGTACTTACATTATTCATAAATATTAGTAATAATATTTTATTATTTGATTATAATGTGTTCAACAATATAAAATAATTTTGATTTTTTAATTTAATGGGTTATTGCGCCGTAAGTGTCCTACCTATTTGTATGATTGTATACGTATAAAATATCACATAATTGGGTACATTTATCTGAATACATTTTTAAAGGTCAATCAACACTCCAATTACATGAACAAACAAATTTACTGATCTATTGATTCACTATCTTCACTGAATTTATAAATAAACATACATAGATTTTTAAGTCATTAGGAAATACAAATAATTTACAGAAGTGGAATATGCTATTTAAGTCATTAATACGTAATAAATGAAACATAATTATGTAATTAAAGCGATTTAGTTAATTTATTAATTCTCACTTACAAGTAAATTTGATTTAAATTCAAGGGATTTATTGTTCATTAAAATGTTAATTTCTGCTATTTGACGTATAATTGTAAACTTAAACGCGAACAAAGATTCAATTAATGTAAATCTTAATTTATTCATATGCCATGTAGATATAAAATATACAATATAATATTTCACTAAAAACAAAATAAAATAAAATAAAATGTAATAATACTTATTTATTTTAGACAAGTTTACTAGACAATAATTGAATTTGTCATTATTATGTTAAATTATTATATGCATAGTCTTTACTACAAATAATTACATTAAATAAAACTGTTTTCCGTACTGAGGCAAAATAAGTTTAATTAATGTTCGCATATTGAATTTTCATTAAAATTCTGAATGTGTATGCAAAAGCAAATAAAACACAAGTTATTAATTTTAATGTATGAGCAAGTTATGTAATTACGATTTAATTTACTTATTTTTGAGTTTCAAATTTATAGTTACAACCGTGTGTACGTTTATATTTGATTTTTATACAAAAGTCTGTTAAATTAATGAATCAAGGTATACTTATACATTTAAACAAAATATTGATGTTAATTGTGTATGCACAGAAATAAATAAGTTTGTCATCATTTAGCCTACAACAATTTAAATTTACAATAAATAAGGGCAACTTAAAGTTACCTAGTCTTAGTTAGTAGTGCTTTTCAAGACAGTAAATGTACAAAATCATTTTGGTTTGTAAATCGTTACGATAATATAACATATAATTGTACAAAGTTGTGTTAAGTACGTCGAATTGTCACACGTTTTATGTATAATATTTCAATCAAATATGTTTTGACAGTTTAATTAAATGCACCTATATTAAAAAGGTGTATAAAAACAAATGCTCTACAACTCCAAATTATTATACAGACATACAGTTAAGCAAAACCTCAAGAAATAATGAAGTATAGTTTCAATGAAATTAAATAAGCGTTGGTTGTTATTTAAATTCAATTACATAAGCATCAATGAAAGTGAAATAAAATTCTGATTTATGTTGACAGAATTGTGTTCGCGTTAAAGAGCTGCTTTTGCATTTTCTCTTATATAGTAGGAAAGTATATGAGTTCCTACATAAGCCGTATGTATTACAACCATACAAGATTTATTTAAATACGTTTTGAGTATCGACAATGATAAAATATGTGAAATTCGCGGAATATTTAATTTTTTTAAATTGTATTTTAGTTATTACATGTTAAATAATATTTTTTTAAAGATTGCGACACGTGAACTTAGCAACTAACAATTTAAATTGTAACTCAACTGCCAATGTCAAGATAACTATACAACAATTATTTTAATTTACGTTAGTGCGCAATTCAGTAACACATATCGAAACTAAATAAGTAATCGGTATCTAGATATCACAATAATTAGATATGAAATAAAATAAATAAACTTTTTATTTTTAACTATAGGTTTATTCAGTTGTTACTTGTTATGTCTAAAAGTAACTCTGAGAAGACTACCAGTACATTGATATTCTTATATTTACTATAGTAATAATTTATGATATGCATTGGACCTTATATATTACATATAAATATATTATTAATGGAATAGTTACATATATTATATTTTAATAATTATATAGGCTCAAAAAGATTGATTGGAACAACATGTAGTATTAAGAATTTGTACTTTATACCTTTATTTATATGTATCAGTATGATTGCAAAGTACAAACAGGGTGGTTCACCAAGAATTCTCACCCCCGTATATCCTATAATTGTGCATATATTTAAATTCTGACTATTGTAATTTTTAGATCCACGCACTTAATGTTCATACGTATTTTTGAATATTTAAATGTTAAATACCCTTCAACGAGTATTTTGCAATATATCTACAATCTACTGCAAAATTTCTATTTTTCTTTATCACTGTAATTTTAGATAATGTTTATTAAAATGTTGGTGCATTTAGATTGAAATTTGAACCAGTGGATTTTGTGTTATTAAACTTTATGTTCTAATCGTAACAAACAATATAGTCTTTAGACTTTAATAGTAGTTTTACATAAAATAATAAATATTACAATTGATAACCCCTCATTCTTTCTAAATCTATTAAACACATACGTCATGTTTATCCATGTATCTATTTCAAGCTTAATACCTCAGAATATATTTGTTTGATATTAAATTTATTAGCACCAACATATTCAAAAAAATTCACGACCTTAACAATTTGAACAAAAAACTTTGTATTGTACTCTATTTTATTGGGACACTTCTTAAATGTTTCATAAATCTAAGTATTTAAGAATAAAGCCTTTATCGATACATCTAAAATTTCAAAAATTAGAGTTTGAATAAATGTATTATTATAAATTAAAAGTGGAGGGTGAGAATTCTGTGTGAATTATCCTATACATGCATATTACATATGTTATAAATGACGATCAAAGAAAGACCAACCTAATCTATAATTTTCTTTACCATCTTAAGATCAATAATTTTGTTCGTATACGACTAATATAATTATGGGTACAACACCGATCACTAAATAATACATTATACATTGAACTTACAAAATTAGGAAGTATGTACTATATGCGAAGATGTAATCGGATGTATGACATTAGACAATATGAATTATAGAGATATTATAGATGCAGGTATGAGCATAATACATTATCAATGACTTACAGTAGTTAGAGAGTATTGTACATATAATACTTTAGAAGTCACAATTATTATGAAACTATTCTGAAGGACTGCCAGGTACATCAATTTAAGTTTCTTCGTTTTTAAAACTTAAATAACTACTATTATACCGAGTGCCACATCTATTGAAATGTCGAAAGCAATTTTATAGTAGATATATTAGTATAGTTAGTACAAATAATATGAACATGTATTGGTGTATATATTACTTGCAGTGTTCAAAAACATGGTGAATTTCATACTTTATTTGGTATATATATTACGTATATAACCTATAAATAAGATTTTAAAAAATATATTTAATTTTTTTGAACAATAATGTGCCTGCCCTCATAATAATAGGTAATAGGTACGTGACCTTACTTATGCCAAAATATCATTGTATCATTGTACAACACCTACAGTGTAGTGGTTCGTGGAGAACGCGGGGGGTTCTAAACCATCCTCTCGCCAATACGATTTATTTTTTCCTGCGTTCGCGCCCCCGCAGCAATAGTCGGTGTTTATACCGATATATACCTAGGTACATTATTACATAATATTATAACACGGACACACTCACTTTCAGGGCCGACACGACTCCGTGGTTCCTGCACCGGGCACACTTGGGCGTCCGTTGGTACCGCTCGGACGCTCGCTGCAAAAAGAACGCGGGAGACAGTCCTCCGAGAGCGGGATGCTGCGACATGAGGGCTGCGGTCATGTCCACACCGCTAGGCAAACTCATCGTTACTGCCGACGGTTACGCTTTCACAACAACGCCCGGACCATCTCGGGCCCGACCCGCGGTCGTCGTCTGTCGGGCGGGCGCGGCGATGGGGCTGGCTCCTCCCCGGAACGCCGCAAAGTCCCGCCCCTCCGGCACGCGTATATTTATTCTTACAGTACCTAGCTCTTCCGCGGCGGCTCTACACACACACACACACACACACACACACACACTATAAATATAATTTTATATACTATTATTATCATTGTATTACTTTATGTGTATATATAATATAATATATACATAATATATATGTATACATTATACATCGCTTTCGTTTGTATTTCGGCTGAACAATAACGCACACACTCGCGGGCGAGTATAATAATTTCAGGTGAACAGTACATAATATCGTATAGGTATATAAAGCACGTACACACGCACCAATATATACGCGACTATTATACTGAAATGATATAATAATAATAATAATAATAATAATAATAATAATATCACGTACACGTCCTGCGGGGTAAATCGGCGGAGAGGGCCACGTCGAATCACCGACCGCGTTTACCCGGCCAAACTCCACCCAGTTCCCCGCTGTGTATATATATATGTGTGTGTGTGTGTGTGTGTGTGGACCGGTGTAAGTATTGTATACATATATAATGTACATATAATATATACCTAGGTACTGTAAATGTGTATCATGCAGCATATCTACACACATACACACACACACACACATTATTATGTATAATGTATATATACAGGTTTACGCGTATGTAAATGGACATAATATATTATTATATAGTTATAAATATGTGTCCCAAGATGAGGCGACATGAATACACGTGCGATATTGTGCGTATATATTATTATGCGTAATGTATAAAATATATAATATCATATGGATTATGGGTATATAAGTATGTTTATATATATTATATATATATATATATATATGTCATACCCATATAATTTACATTTTTGTCGGTTATTGTTCGATCCCGGCGGGCTACATTGGTACCTATTATATGTATACATGTAAATTGTATTATTATATTGTATTATATACATATATTGTTATAATAGTCGTACCAAAAGATCTCCTGCTATGCATATCCACGATCCCCACACCACGGGCTATATTCACCAAACCACAAGCACAACACCCGGCCTCCACTATATCAATACTATATAATAGTTATTATTATTATTGTTATTTTTATTAATGCCTGTATATAATATACTGCAGGTATTTTAATTTATAGTACCTATAAGGCTATACGTAGGGTCTCATACGCTCCGTATTTTAAGGGTTTGTCTCGTATTTGAATCAATAGCATCCCGGTGACCAGATAAAATGTTCTAATATCAATATAGGTACACTATAATATAGCATTTTAGCTCCTTACTTTGAATCATTGAATTTGCCGGGGTGAAAATGAAGGCACGAATTCCAAATTTGTGGTTACGAATAAATACTAAATAATAATTAAAACGCCTAACAATAGGTAACACTTAATCGATAACGCACAGGACAAGCCGTCTCTGGGGAGATTGGAATGTTCTATAAATAGAAAATGAGGGACCGGCAAAATTGTGATTTAGGCCACTCAATACAGTCCATCTCTCACATTACAAACGCCATGCCTTCCCCGTTCTTTTATGTATGGAACACTGGAAGAACTCCACGAAGTTACTGAATAGGCAGTCAACTGGATAAAGGTAATTGACAACCAAATGTAGAGACTTAGACACTTTAACTACATCACCGGAAAGTTACACTCAGTATTAAATTCTTAATAATATGTGGCTTTGTATTCTGATAAATAACTGTAAAAAAATATGTACCTATACCCTCCTACAGTAATAAGCATTATAAATTATAATAATCATTGTACACAAACCTATCATATCTATTGAATCTATTAATTAAAATATTTCACCTAGAAAATTCTGCGATAAGTTATTACTTCCAATCTCTAAACCACCCTTATCAAATTTCCAGTGAACACCACTCTTTAAAAATTGTGGAAATGCAAACTAGCTTTCTATGAGGCTGTACCGAAAAAAACAAGCACATCGCTTACTGAAAGAGGACACGAACGAAACTAAATTTTACGCCTAGCTCGCATATGCTTATATTTTGTATTTTAATTTCTTATATTTTCAATATTTTGATTTTGGTTGCATCACTTGAAATTGATTTCACAGTTCCAGGAGTCTTCTGAACATAGGTATAGTGATCGATATTTTAACACCTAATGTAAATTAAAGCTAATTAAAACGCTTTTCTACATGTGTGATAATAATATTTATCTCTTATCTATAAGATAAGTGACTAGTTGTATCACAATATTGTACTACATATAATAAGTAACATAATAATATTAGGATTACAATTATAAATTGTTAATTAACTGTTTGACTTGATGCAATTTTCCAATCTATAACATTTGAGTACGGGCAGCGGAAAGATATAATATTAGGGTGTGAGCCTCATACCAGCCGATGACCGATTTTCAATACCTTCAAAAACAATGCATCTGCTGCGTATACATTTCTCTAAATCCATATACTTAGGCAAACCCGTTTCCTGTTGCCTTAACCAGCACTCGTGACTCGTGATAACTATTGCATCTATCAGACTTGCAATTATGGTTATCGACTAAAGATACCAACGCTCAACAAACAATAGTTGTTTAATGGCTTTGCTAGATGAGCACACATGTATGCATGCAGCGTCTAAAGTTTGATCTAGTTCTTAGCGTCTAGTCCACTGTCCACTAGCCACAAGGATTAACAAATCAGAGACTAAGGAACATAAGACAATCCTAAGGTCTAATTAGGACCTAACATAAGAACAAGTTGGCAATCGCATAAAAAAGTGCTAGTGTGCGACTATATGAATAAGTGCTCTAATCTCATTATAAATAATAACACACAGTATCGGGCATCATTTGTTATTTTATAAACACCGTTCAAAAGTAGACATTTCACTATTATACTTGTACTATATATAATTTTTGTTAAAATAAAATGTTATAAAATGTACAATTAAATTTTTTACAATGGCTAATAATAAAAAAAAAAAATGGACAATAATATTTGTTTTATTTTTGACTCCCCCTCCCTCTGAGTAGGTTATAGATATATTTTAGTAAATCGTTTATTTAATTTATTACCACGATAACAAACAGACCGTGTTTAAATACCCACTGAAATAGCTCGACCACTTGTATGCCATATAACTATTATAGTGTCGTCGATAAAAAGAGATGTTTTGGCTAAATAGGTATCCGAATTCTAAACCACGGCTATAGCTGTCTATAATAATAGCCTTCTGTCTAAACTTTTTGAATCAGTTGATAGTAGAAGTGATAAGTACCCCCGGAGATTAAAATTTCATATTTTTTACATTTTATCGTCTGCACTTTTAAGAAAATTAATGGCTGTTTAATCTGTTCTATGTAAAATTAACCGACTTTATTCGACAAATAAATAAGCGTCCTTGGTTCCTTCCTCGGCTGGTGACAAAATTTTGTGTTTTTTTTGTTTGTCAATTTACAATTGACATACAATATAATAATATGCCCGTATTAGATAGTCATTGTATATTTTTTTAAGTTATTGATTTTATCTATAGATTTAATAAATAATAATTTAAACTGAAATTTACATTGATGTATCACAATTTAGGTGTACCTATCTTCATGGAGATCTTGGCAAATATTTGAAAAGTACTGGGAATTTTTATTTTTGACTCCCCAAAAATATCAAATAGATACCAGATTCCCCTACCAGAAACCTTTATCAAATTTGCAACCAGAGCATATTTTTCTACTAAAAAAAGTGTTTTCACTTTGCAGACAAGGCCGTAGCCAGGGGGGGGGGGGGG